AGTAGTCCGGTTGACAGTGATTTCTTTGTAATCGTTGTAATACATATATACACATATATACATATATATATATATATATATATATATATATATATATATATATATATATATATATATACTGAAATTTAAAAATTACTATATGTAGCCCTGCATTTAGCCACACGAAAAACAGTAAATGCCATGATTTTCCACTATCTGGTATCAAAGGAAACTCTCTCGGTACCTATGTTATAGTGATTTTCCTAGTGTAGCTTAGATGTGGCACAAGGCCGAAAGTAGGGGGCACCCAGTGAGAATCGAACTAACTACCCAGTAGTAATTGTTGCACTGCCTCGAGGTGCCCGGGTACCTATATTACATATACAAGAGGTATTGAAATTTTCTCAGTCCTTAAAAAAAAACAAAAAAACTTTACATATAAGGTATTGCAGGACATACAAGGCACACAGGCCATTAAAGTTCATGTTTAAGTGCATGCACCAAATCTAAGTGCATTAACACGGTCGCTTCCGATCTGATACCGGAAATAATAACGAATGATGCCCACAAAACGCGGAGAGAAACAGCTTTTTGAAAAAGGACAAGTACTTCTTCGGAAACAACCTGGGGGAACATGCTATCCATGGCTAAAAGAAAGAAAAGTTCTTAACTATTAGACGTTGTTAGGATACCATAGTAAATTTAATAGCTATAAGACATCATCAGCCACCACCTAACATGAGAATAATTGTCATCGATTAGCGGGCAAGGTCGTGTTGCCACAGATTTGAAGTGCATGAAGATATCGGTGACAAGACTACGTGATAAGAAGGCACTTCATATGCGTGAAAAACACGAAATAAACGATCGAATCACTTTCTGAACACATGCTCAAACTCGTAAAAAAAACGTAAACACAAATAGCCATAGGTGGCCCTAGGCATTACAAACATAAAAACGCAAGGTGATTCACACTAAATTCAATATCGATTTCGATGGTCAAGAGGTTCGTGAGAAACAAAAGCCCAGTCAACATATTCTAATTTTTCTTCTGGGATCTCAACGTAAATGCCACCATCTACATCGATGGGATAGGATATTCAAGCCAAATGGGGTATTTGGTTTAGAGACAGCTTTACAAGCTGCTTCGGGATTATGCTCCTTTCCTCTTGGGTCTTCGAGAATGGCGGACTGAAAGTTTTCTCATTTATATGATGCCGTGTCTGTGGTCCCCGAACACTTTTAATATGCATTCAGCTGATTACAATCTAAGTGGGAGGCTGGGAATGAGAGTGACGTTCTGATACACAATAGTAAGGTTTCGTTGAAGGCCGACATTGTTGGCGCGGTGGCAAACATGAAGAAGCGCAATTGTATCAAGACAATTCAAAAGGCTGGGAAGGGTTTATTGAATGATGTTTGTCCATTTTCCTAATGTAAATAAATGCGTGAACATTAAAAATATATTGCTTAAATATACTATTGAACATATCTTGGGTTCTATTTATATTATCTTTCGTCCTTCATTACCGAACAATATACGCTTCATATATATATATATATATATATATATATATATATATATATATATATATATATATATATATATGTAACACTAATAAATCCACATACACACACATACATATATATCTATATATCTCTCTCCTTCTACACACACTCACACAAACACACACATTACACACACACACACATATATATATATAAATTCATGAATCATTCATACAAAAAACAAATATAGAGGTTAATGATTTAAATGGCGAGAATACATCATCGCAAACAATATAAATATGATACACCAACTCCGAACATGTATATGAATGATATGATACCTGTTTATAAATTCCAGTTGCATAAGGTCTTTTTAATTTTTTACAAGCTTTCGTCTGTTCCTACAGACATCCTCATGTATGGAAATAGATTTTGTTCTTGTTTTTACTTCTCGGTAATAAGAGGACAACGAAAATATAGATGTAATCCAAAAAATGCTATGAGAAATGTGTTATTGTTTTGGAACGTGCGGTTGCACCGCTGAGTTTGAATTTAAATTTTAAGGTTGTGCGTTTTTGTACAAATATAGCAATAAGAGAATTCTTTTTTACTGGTAGATTTTCCGTCAGTATGGCATGAACTATATTGTTCAATAATTACAGTAATGTCACACTTATTATCCGAAAGTTATATATATATATAAATATTTAAAAGAAAAACAGAACACTTTAAGGTACCATTATAATAATTTATTTCACCAGAAATATATATATATATATATATAGTGGACTTATTTATTTCACCGGAAATATATATATATATATATATATATATATATATATATATATATATATATATATATATAGTGGACCCCTGTCGTATTCGACTTATGAGGATCAAGCAGTTCAGTTTCTAGGAACCGACAGTCAGACCCCAGCACATATGATTTGATTATAGCGGTAAAGTCTTTGTGCAGAATAAACCACACTTTTGACTGGATGAATACAGAGACCTGGTGCACTACGTGCCTCAAGGATCCCAAACCACACTCTACAAGTTTTGAATTCAGTGTTGTCCCTATGTATATATTCTTAAAAACATCTTTCTGTCTACAAACAATTATTTCATCTTCAAGTTTTAACTTTAAAGGAAAAAAAAATACAGCCTGAAGATGAAGACAAGGATCTTCGAAAGCACTTGATTAACTTAAAGAAAATATACACTAGAATCATCTGACAACAGTTTTATAAATGAGGATCACATCATTTAATGGGTTAATAGTATTTTAATGCATACATTGTGTTCTACGAGCGAAGTTATTTCACCATTAATCGCATTAATATTGCTGATTGATTCTATGTATGATTATTTCTTTATATATATATATATATATATATATATATATATATATATATAACATTTCCATGGGTTCAATTATCATGACTAAAATTGAAAAGAAGATATTTAATACCACTAAAAATCCAACCATCTAAGATATGTAAATGATATTCACATCTTAGTCAAAAACATAGGTGAAATATATGAACTAACAAAAGACTTACTCGTCCTAAAGTTCGCATACGAACATAACAATAACAGTAATATCCTTTTTGTTGATGCATTGATAGACACTAATAATAATAAATTTACTACCTCCCCTTAAAACAACATCGTGTATTATCAACTATAAAACACGTGAACTCTCAACTATAAAAGGGAATTCCCTAACTATTACAAAATAGCGATTATACAAAATTTGATAAGCCGTGCAAAACGTAACTCTTCAACGAAAAGTATTTTCTGCACTGAATTAAAACTCACTAAATAAAATCTTGTTAATAATAACGTTCCTAATTACATTGTTGCTGTACAAGTTAGAAGAGCTATTAGAAGTATTAACATAAATCAAAAAGAACATTCTCAAATCAAAAAGAACTTCCTCAAATAAGCCTAATCATACCAATCTACTATAGTGCGATCAAACACATTCTAACTATAAACAGGATGAAAAAACCCTAAACAATTACCCATAAGTACTAATATATCCCCTAGAAATTCCAGTAAAAAATAAAAATAATCATATTCTTTACTAAATTTAATAGAACCACCATAAACATCCGCAATAAATCTTCTCCGTCAATTCGTGTTTTGCAAAAGACCAACATTCTATATCAATTTAATTTCCATTTGGGAGATTGTATCTCTGACTAAAAATTAAATACATATGTTGACTACACAACGACAACTTTATCGAGAAGAATTACACTTCATATGTCGGATTCTAGTTCGATTGCACAACATTAAAAGAACGTTCCTCTCTACATACACGATTTAGAGAAATAATAATCGACAATACAAGTATACTCCGCCACGAAAATAAAATAAAAATTCTGGAAGCCCTTTATGTAAAAAGACGTCATTCCTTCCCCTTTCTCTGACCAATCGTAATTGTTTTATTACCCCTTAAGCAGAGGAATATTTCCCGCCAGTCCAAGGAGAATTTGGTTTACTACTACAGACAAAAGACAATGGTTAAAATAATAAAAAAAATCGAAAAAATTAATTCTTGAAATAATATGTAGAAATAACCATTATTAGCCTGACGAAATTCACAAGACCAGCAATAGGTTTAGCAAAAATTATGGAAAATAACGTATGGTCAATCCGAAATGTATGGCACGCCTTCTTCTGAGCGCCATCTTAGATCTGTGAAGCCAAGAAATGTTCATCGCCGGTGCAAATTCATAGACAAAAGCGGTGACTATGTTGAAAAAAAAAAAAACGTTTTGTAGTTGAAATCGTTCCCCCGCCCCGGTCTAACAGTTTTATTGATCTTAGTTATAGTTTCATTGACAAAAAATGGGAGGAAATATTTTCAGAGGGTCCCTTCTCTATTCATCATGTCTCGTCGGATTTGTGAGCATAGATTTTTCAAGGGCAACTGAATTATATTTTCTGCCTAAGAAAACTTTCACCAAAGTAATTCTTAACTTTTAGTCATTCAGCCTGTAACAAAAGCGGAGCTAAACATTTTTCAGTACGTTTTCCGATTCGAATGTTTTGCATGTTTGTGCATTGTCTATCTACTTGATAATTAGATAATTATTTCTCTATTCAATATTTTGGTTGAGATCAATATTTTTCTAATATGAAAATCATTGATTACTCGAGTTATACCAATATTTTCTATTATTCTGTTTCTTCGAATAGACAGTTAAGTATAATCTGAGGAGGACAATGCATACACTTTAATCGATATACCTTGTTTACATCCAATATATGCTTATATACAAAAATATAAATTAAATGGTCTTGCACAGTAGATAGATGAATCACATGTATTATATCAGCACAAATTATTTGATCAGAACCAGTTAAAAGGTTACCAATCATGATTTCTCATCTGGAATTTGATTTAAAGATTTCACTCCAAAAATGAACAAAGCGATTAATATTCAGTACTGACATATATATTGACAAGTGCTTGTGTCGGGAAATATTCATTGTATAAAATGAACTTTTCTGTTTGGTTTAGTGTGTGCCTGCATACACAGCTCGAAATATATTTTTTTCTATGTAATATTTCTATATCCTTCATCAACGTTGAATTTCTTCTTCTTCTTCTTCTTCTTCTTCTTCTTCTTCTTCTTCTTTCCTTGTTGTATACACATTTCATTTCGGGCCCCAACCAGAATCCTAAGCTCAGGAATGGCTTCATGACATTTTCCACTGTACTCTTTTGTAAAAAAAGCAAAGAAAAATTAAGAGCTCATGCATTTTACGAAGAAAAAGCACTTTGTAATGTATGGGCTGTACTTTTGGGTAGAAGTTTTTTGCATTTCTTTAAGGCATTGGCTACCAGCTAGGAATCTCTTCTATGTGTCTTTCAGAATTTTTCCAATTGATCCGAGATTTCCAAATACAATTGGAAATATTGATGTCGTCATGTGCCACATTTTTTCGATTTCCAATTCAAGACTTTTGTATTTTGATAGTTTTTTTTTTTGAGGATCTTTAAAGATACATTAAAATCTGCAGGGACTGCCATGCCAATAAGTAAGCGGATAATATCGTTGTGGTTATTGATCACGATTTCTGAATGATTTGCTTTGATTTTCTTGGCTCTGTCGTAAAATCCCATAAGATTGTTACAGGCCCTATCTCTGTAAGCGAGGCTGACTTATGTCCATAGCAGTTTCTTGCAGTTTCCTTCCCGTTAAGTTGCATATCTTCCAATGCAGATATTGACTCACTCTATCACGTCGAGTTTTACATTAAGTGAGTGCTAATACCGCGAATCCTTATACAAGATGATCAAATATGAATTTCAGGTCAACACAATCTTACAGTATGTATACTTGGTTTATTTGCACTTCTTCCCTTTTGAATTATTATTATTATTATTATTATTATTATTATTATTATTATTATTATTTGTGTAAGTTATGTTTCCTGCTTTGTATCCTCTGGAGCCGGGTCTAACCTATGGCCCTTAGGACCTATAGGAGAATTTTCATTTAACTAATATCACTTTTCTTAGTATATGAGATGTTCCTAGTAGAGCGACCATCTGGGCAACTTGTATGTTCATGTTACTTGGGACACTGTTAGTAAAATTGTTCATTCCTTTTCTAGCGAGGCCAAGAGCTTCTATTACTATTGGTACACTCTCAGTCTTCATTCAACATATCCTTGTATTTGGACTATTTCTCGATAATCTTCACGGAGGTGTTTCTCTCAGATGGCACTGCTATGTCAATAAGCATACACTTCCTGAATTTCTTGTCTTTTATGATAATATCAGGTCTGTTGGCTTTTATTTCCCTGTCAGTTTCAATTGGCATGTCCCAGAGGATAGTTACATCGTTATTATGGGTAACAGTTTCTCTCAGTGGTTTCGATTTTGTGTTACTTGCATATCTTCCAGTGCAAATATGTCACTACCTTGTTATGTCTGTGGGTATATTCATTCTTTGATATCCTCAGATATGATCGGCAGCTTTATCATATCTTTCGCAGAACATGCATTTCGGATCAGTGCCATCCTTCATTATGTAACAGTAATAGGATCTGGTTGCGAGGCTTTCGTCTTGAGCTGCAATAATTAGGCCTTCTGTCTCAGCTTCCAACCTGTTGTTCCGCAGCCACTGCTGTGTTTTTTTTTTTTTTGGTCTACATCTGCTTCTTTCGTTCCTTTTAGGTATTTTGCTACCTAACGCTTTGTTCTCGCAGTTTTTTTTTTATAATTTCATTTGGCAAAGTTGTTTCGCTTTCTGTTTTACTGGTTTGGCGTAGATGGTGTTCGCTTCGGTTTTTGTTGGTAGGATTACAGGTATATTAACCTGTTTATTGGAGAGTACACTTTTTCATTAATGGAGCGCATTTGGTGTTCTACTATTTATTGGAGAAGGTCATTGGTTTTTGTTAGGTATGCTTCCAATCAGATTCTTGTAGTTTTTAAAGTTATTTCAAATTGGATTAGACCTGGGCCTGCTAAAGCTATTGGCACGAACAGCCTATCAACATCTGATTTCAGCTGGTACATCTTTATTTTTCTGGTCTTGCTGCCCAATATTGCAATGTCATTCAACTTCCATTTGATAATGCTAAAACTGTATGTCCTACGGGTATAGCTAAGGTGTTGATAGCCTTCATTTTATTGGACCCATTAAGTTCACTTTCTAGTATCAGACATTATTATTATTATTATTATTATTATTATTATTTCTTTTGCTTTCTGTTTTGTACAGTCGTTTACTGAGAACTACCGTAAGATAAATTAGTAAATATAAGGATTTTGTTCGCACAAGTTTTCATGTTAGCCGATACATTACATATACTGTTTGTATCTGATTTACCTTATTATTATTATTATTATTATTAGTAGTAGTAGTAGTAGTAGTAGTAGTATTCCATTTCGATTTCTGCTACGGTCACATCACCTACCATATCAATGAGAAGACCTGAGGCAGGTAGCGGTGTGTTGTTATGTCTACATTTCATGATTTGTTTTTCTAACGGCCATAACATCACAAGCTTTACAGAGACAAAGTTCTTCTCCTCCTTCCTTCCTTCCTTCCTTCCTTCCTTCCTTCCTTCCTTCCTTCTACTTCTTCTTCTTCTTCTTCTTATTCTTCTTCTTCTTCTTATTATTATTATTATAGTGCTTTGTGCTTAGTACACTCACTTAACTGGTCATTACGTAGGGTAAATCAAGGTAGGAAATATATATAATCCATTTGTACAGATTCTGATGCAGTATTTATATTTTTTACATTGTTAATACTCTTCTGAGTAGATTAGCTAACAGAAACAGTGCAATTTTTCTTTAATATCTGTGACTGCCAGAAATCTTGTTCATGTTCTTGCATCTATATTTTCTTACGCAGAACACCAATTATTAATGTATAACTGTATTTTTAAGATGTGACTTAAAATAGATTTACTTCAAGATCCTTACACACACACACACACACACACACACACACACACACACATATATATATATATATATATATATATATATATATATATATATATATATATATATATATATTCGTTTAGTCCTATTCTTTAACAGATATATTTTTTATCAGAAGACATTGATATATCTATGAAAAGGTACATTTTTTTTTGTAATCTTTAATTACTGCACCTGTTCTGATTGCTTTTATATGTCTGTCTATATGAATGGTAAAGTTTCAAATAATAATGACCTGGCTTTCCATGACTGCTTCAGATAATATTCTTGCAATTTTAAGTATGTGGCGAACTTTAATACTGATATATCTTCCAGTGAATATACTGCCAAATCTTATCATGCCAAGCTTCTAATTCCTTTGATGTCATCATTGAACAATTAGACATTGAATGATTAAAATTTTCATATGATCTACATATTTTGCTTGCACTATATTCTATTGTTTGTTTGGTAATTGCCTATAAATAAGCTTTGATTCTTTGTAGAAATGATAAATACTTCTACTTTTGATTATATCCTTACACTTTTTCCACCATTCCTTACTAACATTACTTCTGGCAAGAAAATGATGATCAATATCCGCTTTAATATGGTGCACCCTATGACGTCATTAATTTTCTAATATTCAAATACATTTTCTTTAAAATAATAACCACATCAGCCACGTTTCTAATGGCTTCTTAATGACTTGGCGATGCTAACGTGTTCATATTTTTTTTTCTTAGGGCTACAATAAAAACCTCTTTATAACAAAATTGCTTAGCAGTTGTGTGGTCGTAACTATTTATCCATATGATATATGGACTCATACACAGTTCATATCTGTTCATAAGCGGGACTAGTGGGGAGAGGGAGCACCGTGACCGGGTGTTGAGAGGTTTATTTTCTTTTTGTGAAGGATAAGGCAACCAAAATAAACTGCGAGCCACATCTTGATTCTTGGGAATACTTTCCCTCGGAGTCCGTTTGTGGAGACCGGTTTAACCAACCTGAAGTTATTTCTAACTTGGCCCCCTCTTCATTTTTCTGTGCTACTATTATCAAAACCTATTACGATATCACGAACATTTGGCTGCGCTACATGTGCTTGGTATACACTTATGAGACTGGGCGTCACGATAGGTATATTGGGTTTTGTATATTTTACGCTAGCGTTACATTACTCTTCTGCTGGTCTCTTTCTGAGTAATAATAAAAATATAAAAAGATGTCATATTTAGTGACTTTTGAATGTCTAATTTATCCTGTTCTGGAACTTCTCCAAATACATACTTCTTTTTTTGCTGACAGCATTTGCATAATTTACTAATAATTTACATTCAGATAATTCGAATTGTTCGTATCTGGAATTATTTTCTATTAATGTCTACCACTGACAGCAGCAAAGTTGCTTCTTTCATTGCCAAAAGGCATTTTAATGTTTAGAAGTTGTTTACCTGCTAAAAGAATTCCTCTGTATCATGGGATAAAAATAACACTTTAAGGGAAAGAAAAATATTAAAAAAAAATTCAATATTTTCGAAGATTAAAAATTATTTCTGTATCCAAGCGCTAAAGGCATATTCCTGTCCAGCCTACACACTGTTCAAAAAATACATAAAACATCAATTCATAATCGCAGACGATCGTGAACATATTAGCAATTGAACCTGTGACGTCATTGTTGATACAGCTTTGTCTGTTTCTTTTTAATTAGAAATTCTAGAACAGTAATTGCCTTTTATCGAGTGAAAAATTACGATAACAAGAAAAGTAATAGAGGAGAAGAAAAAGAAATAATTGGAAAAAGATAAATAATACAGAAGCAAATTGTCTAAACAAGTTAGTTACACATTTTTCTAGCAAATAAAGTCATCCATATACGTATGCGCATGTGTGTGTGTATGTATAAGTGAATAAGTGCATGCATATATATGTAGATATGGGCACCTCGAGGTGGCGTAATGGTTAGCAATCATGTCCACCTAGAACAATTACGACTGAGTAGTGAGTTCGATTCTCACTGGGTGTCCCATACATCCTGCCTTGTGCCACATCTGAGCTACGCTTGGAAAATCACTATATATGTAGATATGTAATTATATGAGGGTGTGAAGGAGGTGTAATGGTTCTCTGGATGAGAAATCGGTGAGCCCAGTTCGAATGACGGTTGATTTAATTACGTTCACTTTCACATAAAT